CCTGGGCAGGGGTGAGATGGAGGGAGGGGGCCTGGGTGGGGCAGGTTTAAACTAGCAAATGGAGAATTTTAGAATGCTGGGGCTGTAAGGATCTATAAATAGTTGTGATTTTAATATTTTTAGATTTATTTTATTATTTTATGTATATGAGTATTTTGCCTGCATTTATTTCTGTGCAGTGTGGTGTACCTGGTGCCCTCAGAGGTCAGAGGAGGGTATCAGATGCCCCAGAACTGGAGTTGCTCAACTATCTGTCTAGCCCTCTATTGTGATTTCATTCTCATTTATTATTTTCTTTTTTTTTTGTTTGCTTTTCAAGACAGGGTTTCTCTGTGTAGCCCTGACTGTCCTGGAACTCACTATGTAGACCAGGCTGGCCTCGAACTCACAGAGATCCACCTGCCTCTGCCTCCCGAGTGCTGGGAATAAAGGCGTGCACTACCACCACCAGGCTTCATGTGTTATTTTCTATAATTTGGGCTTATTTTTCTTTTCTGCCAAAACTGTGTGGGCTCAGAAGATAGCAGGGCAGGTCTCACCCCCCCCCCCCCCGCATCATGCAGATCCTAGGGATCAAACTTGAGCGGTCAGGCTTGGCCACAGCTACCTTTGCCTGCTGAGCCATCTTTCCAGCCCTATTGTCTTTGTTCTGTATTTGTTTGTTTGTTGGGAATTTCAGTGTATGCTCCGTATTTTAATCATGCTCCACCCCCCTCTCCTCCACTTTCTGTCAGACTTTTTAATCTGTTGTCATTTTGTAAGTGGCTCTGAGTATGGTTGTAACACTGTCATCAGTAGGAGGAAAGGCGAGACAAGAATGGTTATAGGACATTTTCACAGAGCAATTCATGTTTAGTCTGAAGGAATGTTTGTTGAAACCACATTTTCTAAATTGGAAGGGCAGGTAAAATATGTGGTCTTTTGTGAAATGATGGCAGCAGTGGGTGTTGAGGGAAAAGATGCACTGGCTCTTACCTGCTGCCAGTTCTTAGAGCCATAGACGTGGGAGCCACTGCCTAGTGTGTCCTCGGAACTGACGGTTGAGACCCTGGCATCCGAGAGGAGAGTAGGCAGTATGCTCTACCCCACCTGGTGCCTGCCCCGAAGGATGTAGCGGGTGGCTGTGGTCTTGGGTGTGGGTGTGGAATCTCTCTGTAACCATCCTTCATTAGTCAGGAGACCTGACCTTGTGCCTTTGTGGGCATTTTTTGGAGATCAGAAAACAGTTTCCAGATCTGGGGCCATTGCTCTCAAACAGCCAAAACACGAAACTCCAAACCTTGCATATTCCTGAAGTTACCTGAAGAGCTTCCAACACCTACCCAGTTCACACCTCATGCTGATCACCCACTTCATACCTTGTGTTGATCACCCAGTTCACACCCTCATACTGATCACCCAGCTCACACCTCATGCTGATCACACAGTTCACACCCTCATACTGATCACCTGGTTCACACCCTCATACTGATCACCCAGTTCACACCCTCATACTGATTACCTAGATTGCCTGGGCCTGGGAGCTGGAGCCAGCCTTTGGGACCTTGTGCTTCTAAGGTTACCAGGTGAAGCTCCCAACCAGCACAAAATCCTGTTCTGTTCTCAATCTCTGCTTCCTTCCTGAGAGGCAGACCCCAGGCTTGTTTCCACAGTGTGGTTCTGATGATGGATCACAAAGTGGGAACTCACATCCACATGCAGAGACACAGAACACAGACTGTGGTTAATGAAACAAGCCAGAACACACGGCGGAAGAAGTCTGGGAGGCTGTGGTTTGACTGCGCCGTTCAGTCGAGAGGCTGCAGCCATCCCTGAAGTAGTGTGCGCCCCCGCTGTGCACACCGAGGCTCTTCAGAATGAGACTGTCATGGCGCCTGTGCCCCTGGATGCTCCCATCTTTACCTTCTCTAAAGTCACCTCTGTCCCTGCCATCACTTCCTTCTCTTTCTCTTTGAAGGGTCCACCCTTCACCGAGCCCTTCCTGTCCCCACTGTGCCTAGCATTCTGTTCTCTCCACTTCTTCCCACGCTAGCTCTGAGAGGCAGCCCAGCTCCTTGAGGCCTTCACTCAGCTGCCCCTCCGGACGCTGTTTCCCCAGCATCTGACTTCTCTGAGTGAAGGTGCTCCTGCAGGCCCAGCAGCTCAGCTCTGTCAGCCTCCTGTGCTCCCGCCACACCTGTGCTGGCTGTCACTGCCGATTGCCCCCATGCCAGGAACCTCCCTCACCTGCTTTCTCACCAGACCCTGGTTCCTGTCCTCATCCTGTCAGAGAAGACAGCCTCTTGTTACCTCCCATCTCCTCCCATTGCCATCCTTCCCAGCCCCGGGTCTCCAGCTCCAGCTCAGATAGCCGTCAGCCTTCTTCCCTCTCCTCAGCATTGGCCTGCTGCGGAAGACCTGTCCTGACTGCAAGTTCTCCTCCTTTCTCAGCTCTTCTGCTCCCCGCCCTGGGCGCCCATCTTTGGGGCGCTCAAGTACACCCTTCTGGAATTGCTCCCGCTTCCTCCCTCCCTGGCTTTCCTCAGCAGAACCACACTAACTCGGACTGGGCTATCTTCCCGGACCCTGTTCCTCTGCAAAAGCAGCCCTTAACCTCGTGCCAGGAGCTCTGTGGCTTGTCTGTCTGTTGTTAGCCCTTCCTTTATACCAGGGTCAGCCAGATCTGCCCATCCTTAGGCTTCCTGCAGAAAGCATGTCCTCATGGTAGAACAGGAAGTAAATGTGTCTCTTGGAACTCTGTTTGCTTGTGTGTGTGCGCGCATGCGCGTGCGACATGCTCATGTCCTTGCATGCATGCATGCATGCATGCATGGTGGTGCCTGTGGAGGCCAAAGGCATTTTCTGTTATCATTTTCCACCTTGTCTTTTGAGGCAGGATTTCTTACTGAACCCAGAGCTCATCGATTGACTAAGATGACTGGCCAGTGAGCTCCAAAGATCCCTTGTGTCAATCCCCACCAAGCGCTAGGGGTTCAGATGTGGTTGGCACTTGTCTCTTACATGGGTGCTAGAGATTCAAACTTAGGTCCTCATGCTTGTTTGGCAGGCCTTTTACCTACTAAGCCATCTCCTCAGCCCCCACTTTTGGCAGTATTTTCTAGATATGATCTACTCTATAGCCCAGGTTGGCCTGAAACTTTTGTTGTACAGACCTACCAAGCTGGCCTTGAACTTGAACTCACCATCTCTGCCTCTTGAGTGCTAGGCTTTCGGGCATGTCTGGTCATAATCCTTACAATTTTGTCTCTTCTTCATGGTGTACTTGTTTGAAAACTTCTATAACCAGTTTTCTGGGCTGCTTTCCACCCTCTGGAATATAGCTCAGAGGATGAGAGCTGGCTCCCGAGGGCTCGCAGCACCTCCTTGTAGGGAGGGCCTGGCTGCATGGCTAGGAAGCTTTTACACTTGCTCCTTTTCAGGTTGAACAGAGGGGAGGGCAGCTGAGCAGTGAAGCACTTGCCTGCCTGCACAAGGGGAGGGTTGCAGCTGCCAGCGCCACACAGACAAAAGTGATCTAGATATTTTTTAATTTTTTATTAATTTTTATTGAGCTATATAGTTTTCTCTGCTCCCTTTCCTTCCTCTGCCCTCTCCTATGGTCCCCATGCTCCCAATTTACTCAGGAGATCTTGTCTTTTTCTACTTCTCATGTAGATCCATGTATGTCTCCCTTAGGGTCCTCTCTGTTGTCTAGGTTCTCTGGGATTGTGAATTGTAGGCTGGTTTTTCTTTGCTTTATGTCTAAAAGCCACTTATGAGTGAGTACATATGATATATGTCTTTCTGGGTCTGGGTTACCTCACACAACATGATGTTTTGTAGATCCATCCATTTGCCTGCAAATTAAGTGATCTGTATTTTAAGTTCCTTCTGTATACCAGGAGTTGGTTGGGACAAGGCAAGCTAGTGTTTCCATGGGGTGATGAGAAATCTAAAGAGAGGCTGAGGTGGGTTTCTGAAGATGTGAGGTGCAAAAGGAGGGTCTCCCCAAATCCAGAATGTAATGTACTCTAGTAGGAGGTGTTCTGGATACCAGAGTTCACACGGGTGGGGGGTGGTAGGTGTTGAGAGGCTTTCCTAGCTCCTCCTCCCCAGGTTGTCAGGGAACCAACTGTGCCTGCCTCCTGCCTGCCTTCTCTTTCTCCCTCTCTTTTGATAGTCTCAGGTAGTCCAGAATGATTTTGGATTCCTCACCCTGCTGCCTCTTACTACCCAAGTCCTGGGATTACAGGCATGTGCCACCATGCCCAGTTTAATGGTTCCTTTTCAGCAAGTGGTATCTTGCTGTTTGCCCCTTGCACAGAATGGCCTGGGGGAGGTGATGGGGTGATGTGACCAAGATACCCTGACCCTTGACTGGGGAATCTTTCTAAGGCCGGAACAGGCTGCTGAGGACCTCTCAAGGCTGGTGGTCACCCCTCAGGCTGCAGGGATGGAAGAGGCGATGGGGGAGGAGAGGTCTCAGGCATGCTAGAGAAGAGGGGGGTGAGCAGACGCTTAGAGGAGTTTGTTCGGATGGGGGAGACTCACTCAGGCTGCTTTCCCCAGCAGTGCCCTCAGAGAGCCTGGCAAGGTGTCTGCTCAGATGCCCAGGGCACTGGACTTGGGAGAAAACAGGTCCCTGGTGCCAGTTCACACCCCTGTTCCATGGACACATGGCATGCTGACCCTGCTCCTGCTGCTTTCTCAGCTCCGGCTTCTCCTGGGGCAGCCAGAAGAGTCTCCTCAGCATTTGTCACGCCATTTGTGTTACTGAGGGCGCTCAAAGAGCTGGGGACAAGGGGACAATGTTAAGTGAGCCCACAGACACTCACCTTTTGTTGCTGTTGTTACTTCCACACATTCAGTCAAGTCTAGTTTTCTAGTTGAAATGAATATACCCTCACTTTTATTTCCCAAAGCTTGTCTTCTTGGGATTATGGGAGTGGAGTTAAATAAACCCAGGAAGAACTAGTTTTCTGTGTAAATCACACTGAAAGTCGTCCCATTTCTCCCCGCAGGGGAAAGTGGAAGTAGAAGCTGGGAAAGAAGGTATGAAGTTTGAAGCAAGTGCTTTTTCATATTATGGTGTAATGGCCCTCACAGCCTCTCCAGGTGAGTGCTTCCAGCCTCGTAGCACAGGACTACTGTGGGAAGATGAGATCTTCCTCCCGTCGTTCCCCCTCCTGTCAGTCCTCCCGTCAGTCGTCAGTCCTCCTCCATCAGTCCCAATCCTCCCGTCAGTCCTCCTCCCTCAGCCCCAGTCCTCCTCCGGGAAGTCCTCCTCCCATCAGTTCTCCTCCCATCAGTCCTCCTCCCATCGGTCCCAATCCTCCTCCCATCAGTCCTCCTCCCATCGGTCCCAATCCTCCCGTCAGTCCTCCTCCCATTGGTCCCAATCCTCCTCCCGTCAGTCCTCCTCCCATCGGTCCCAATCCTCCCGTCAGTCCTCCTCCCATTGGTCCCAATCCTCCTCCCGTCAGTCCTTCTCCCATCAGTCCCAGTCCTCTCGCCAGTCCTCCTCCCGGCAGTCCTCCCCTATCGGTCCTCCTCCCGGAAGTCCTCCCCATTAGTCCTCCTCCCGGCAGTCCTTCCTGTGCCCTGCTGACCTATGTGCTTTAACTTGTCGTCGATGAGTTGTGGAGACAGAAGCTGTGCATGTCTCAAGTAGATACCTTCACAAGTTTCCATGCACTGAACACAGCTGTGCAGACCTAAGGCCCTCCCAACCCTTCTACGTCGCTGTCCCCCTCCCTCCTTGAACTGTATGAACGAACCTACAGGGAATGGAGTGGGTTGAGTTTGGCTCCCCCTCCAGTGCTGCGGTCATGTTCTGTGTGGTGCTTCCCCCTGTGTGAACACAGAGCACTGCACTTGCCTGACAAAGGAAGGAAGGTTTATATCAGGTGATAGTTGGAGAGATCGTCATGGCAGAGAGACTATGGCTGCAGGAGCATGAGGCAGTGTGACATTACGTCCCCAGGAAGCAGGAAGGAGGGATGCTGTGCCCAGCTCACTCTCTTGTTCAGTCTAGGACATCAGGCTATGGATGACATCCCCACACTTGAGTGTGTGTCTTCTCCATCCAGCTACATCTCCCTGGAAGTACGTTTCCATGGTGATTGTAAACCCTTAGACCAGCCATCGAGGGCTATTTCCTGTGAAAACTCTATCTTCTAGTGGGTGTTCACACTTGGGTCTGTTGAGTTGCTGCTCAGCTTCAGCACTTCCTTGAAGTTCAGTACTTCCCAGGGCATTCCCTGTGGGAAGTGCTCCCATCTTCACCCACCCAGAGTGTCCCCTGCCCTTCATGGGAAGTGCTCCCATCTCCACCCACCCAGAGTGAGAAGTGTCCACCCCGAGTCTAAGCTGTACTCATAGCTATTCTGGGGGTTTTCTGTTGCATCTTCCCCGAGGATGAAGGAGTTTGCTGCTGTTTGTGGTATGTGGGTTGCCATGGAAAACTGAGTAAGTTCTCTGAGACTCTAGGGTGCCTGAAAGATGACTTTTCCCAGCAGGAGTATCCACACCCAACTCTGCTGTGCTCCCAAGCCCTCTGACTCTAGCTATTCCACTGCTGGCCTTCTCTGGCCAGGAGCTGGCCAAGCAGGTAAACAGAGGTGCTGGAGTGCCACCTTGTGGCCCAAATATAAAAGAGCATCCTGTACAAGGAAACCCTCACAAAGCCCAAAGCTAACCTTAACCCACCTTACAGGAAGAGTGTCAGACTGAAAAACTGACAGGAATGGAGACCTGCAGGAAAGTTTGTCTTTGTGAAACTGGGCTTCCCATTGTCCCACTCAGCAGTGTGGCAGACTTAAGGATGTCACCATCAGAAAGAAAGTCAGTGAACTAAGATCCAGATTCCTCGCTGTCCTGTGTGGGTTTCGCAATGCTAAGGGCACACTGTCCCACTGTCCCCATGTGTGAATGTGGGTCTGTGTGAGCTTTCGTACTAGGTCTTTGTTGTAAACTTGGGGTCTCCATTGCCACCGCTTGGTTTGTGACTGGGCGTGGAAAGACCCGGGTCACAGTCAAGATGCTTGACATTGAGAAAAGACCTTTGTGCCCTGTAGCTGGATGGGTTACTGTGTATACAGTGTGTTGTGACCCTTAACATGGATTTCAGAAGGTGGGGGCAGGAAGATCCCTACAAGTTCCGGTCAGTGTTGTCTGTTTTGTGAGCTTTAAGCCATAGGCCTACATAGCAAGACCTGTCTCAGATGTAAGAACAACAGCACAGCCACAAGAGGAGGTGTTACGTCACAGAGAGGCGTCTGCACTGTGACTGTTCTGGGACTGTGCACCTCGAGTTAGCCCAGGTTAGCGACCCACACCTACAAGGTGGCCCTGGAAAGAAATGGAAGCAACACATCTTTGCTGATTACTGGGTATTTACGCCTAAACAGTAGCCCAGCGCATATTGAACCATAGTGTAAGGGAAATCCCATTCAGAAAATGTTAGCAAAAAGGCCTAGGGTGATGACCACACCTCTCGTGCCAGCACATGGGAAAGGCGGTGGGAGGACCACGAGTTTTAGGCTCTCCCGAGCTATATAGTGAGTTTGCGGCCAGCCCCAGACTACAGGATACCTTTCAAACTAGCAAAAACAGTAACCACAAAAGGCAGCAAGAGCTCACACCTCACCAGAAAGCCCTCGCTGTTCATTTCAAAGGCCTCTGTGTATGGAACCTCCTGACTGGGATCTGGGGTTGTGTAGCCATTGAGCTGTGCAGTTAGCACAGGTTAGATCTCCTGCCTGGGTCTGCTCAAGTTGTGGCCCTGGTGAAATGGCACCAGCAGGAAAAGGCCATTGCCACCGCGACTCGGGACTTGAGTTTAATTCCAAGATTCACATGGTGGAAAGAAAATCTGGCTCCTCCAAGTTTCCCTCTGTTCTCCACATATGTTCCATGTGCACAGCGAGCAAAGGTACACATGTGTGCACATGTACACAAATAAGAGTGTATGTAAGCTATTCACCAGGAAAATAGAAGCAGAAAGATTCTGTAAGTGTGAGCCGAGCCTGGCCTACACAGCGAGTTCTAGGTCAGCCAGGGCTGTATGTTGAGACCTTGTCTCAACACAAAGAAATACAATGAAGCCTGTGATCTGGGCAAAGCCTGCAGCCCTTGGTTCTCAGGACTGTGGGAAGGCATGTCCCACCCACCACAGCCTGCCCTCGGGGGTTTCCCTGTGGTGGGGCTGATCTCCCATCTGAGTGACAGTGAGGAGCCTCACCTCTGCCTGACCTCTGCCTGCCGTTTTCAGGCAGCCAATGGCACCCTACACATTTGCCTCTGGTTTGAAATCTGAAATCATTCCAAGCAATTCAAACACCAGGCCAAAATTGTGAAACCAAGAATGGCAGGGAGTTGGGTAACCGAGGGCTCGCTAGGTTCCCTGGTGAATGCTGGGTGAGGCTTTGGCCTTTTCTTTGGGCCTGCACCAGCTGCTCCTGCGGTTGTATGTGGCTAATGTGACTTGGGCCTTGGAAAAGGTTTGTCTGGGGGCTGTGGACCCCATTTGGGTATTGGGGGTTTCAGAACTTTCCAGAAGAGAGCACACGAGTGAGAGTCTTACGGTGGCACACTCCCTGCCTTGCTCTTCCTGCAGTTACTGTGTTCCTTCCATTGCACAAGACCACAGGACTCCGGCACTTCCGGGTGGAATGCTCATGTCAGCGAGACACTGTCTACTCCTGTCCCCTGGATGTGACGCTCCCCTTCTTACTTTCAGTGCCATCTCACCGTGTTTTTCTCCATTTTCAGTTCCTTTGTCCCTGTCCCGTACCTTCGCTGTCAGCAGGACAGAGGTGTTAGCTGCAGGCTCTCCAGGTAATTCTGCATGCTTCCTCTTTGTAACCCCGGGAAAGCCTGGCCACTAGGGTCACACATCTATTTCCATAACACTTCCTGTTTCCTGCAGCCCGAAAACGCTCAGGTTGCTGACTAAGAGGGGGCTGTCCAGGAAAACATTAGCTGCAGAGGGCTGGAAAGGGACTCTGGCCTAGGAACCCCGGTGACCAGGGGCTCGGAGAGTTACTATGGTAACAGTCCAGTGCTTTCTGCCCATGCAGCCTGCACTGGCCTAGAACACTCAGATCTACCTCGAGTCTTACTCCATCTTCAGCATGTTGTGAGACCTGAGGGCCTCAGCCCCAACCCGCGGCTGCTCCCATTACCCAGGGAATCCACTGGACAAAATCCTGGAGGAGTATGGGTTTTCTTGGCGAGTGAGAGAGATTGCACCCATCCTGCCTCCAGCACTTGTCGAGCTGCCTGGTGTATTTCTGCCTTCCTCAGGCAGAGGGCCCTGACGCTCAGGCCTCACCTTCTCTTTAGACTTAGTGTCCTGCGCATTCCTGACCAGCCGCAGATTATCTCCCCGCAGGAGAGCGTGGCCATGCCCAACGTGCCCATCCACTGCAAAGAAAGGCTTAATCTTTCTTTAATTAAAATTGCTTAGTCTTAACTGAGTTTGTGGTGAGCACCTGTAATCCCAGCACACAGGAGTCTGAGGCAGGAGAGTCAAGGGTTTAAGACCAGTGTGAGCTATGTGTATAGGGAGACCCTGTCTCAAAGAAAGGAAGATTGTTGAGCATCTATGTTGGGAAATGCAACTTTTCTGTGTTGCTTTTTCCCCATATAGCTTGTAATTTCAATCTGACTGATGAACTTTATATACGGTCTAACTTCAGCCAAACTCTGGAGTACTCGAGGAGGCGACACTTACCTCAGAAGGAAATTCATTAAGATTCCCTTCGGTCTGCTGTCAACCAGTGTGGTGGCCCACACATCTAATCTGTATTCAGAAGGCTGAAGTGTGCACATTGTCACATGGTCAAGGCCAGTCTGGGCTACATAGTGAGTTTGAGTCTAACTTCTAGCTTCAAAAACCCAAAACTAGGCTTCAGCGATAGCTCAGTTGCTAAAATGCTTGCTGCAGGAGGAGGAAGACCTGATCTCTAGTTCCCAAAGCCAGCCTAGTAGTGTGTGTTTAATCCAACACTGGGGAGGTGGAGACAGCAGGACCCCTGGGCTCACTGGCCAGCCAGCTGAGCCAAGTCAGTGGGCCCCAGGTTCCAGAGAATGACACTGCCTTAAAAAAAAAAAAAGTGGACACCCAGGGACTGGAGAGATGGCTTAGTGATTAAGAGCTCTGCCTGCCCTTCCAAAGGTCCTGAGTTCAATTCCCAGCAACCACATGGCAGCTCACAACCATCTGTAATGAGATTTGGTGCCCTCTTCTGGCCTGCAGGGATACATGCAGGCAGAACACTGCATACATAATAAGTATTTTTTTTTTTTAAAGTGGACACCCAAGGTTGACCTCTGGCTTCCACACACATATACATATCATATGTGAAGACATCCTCTCTCTCTCTCTGCTCTGAGAGTTTGATATAAGATATTCCCAGTGCCATCTGACTCAAACCAGCCAGCACACACATGCATTTATATTTTTCTCTCATTTTATTTGTTCATGGTTACTGTTTGTCTAAAAAGTCATAGGGATAGTAAAGTTGATGACTCTTGGCCAAAGCCCATTAAACATCTGAGTTTTACTTTCTCTGTAGAATTTGAGATTTCTTTGCTATGCCTGCTCCATCTGGTCAGGTATAAACAGCCCTGCCTTGAAGGTCCTGGCCCCAGACCTGCTGACATTACAGTAACAGCTACTTCATGAATGGGTGTTAGACTAAGCAGTGACATCTAGCCCCTTCCAGAAGGTACCTATGGTTGCAAAAAAGGCATGTTTCATTATTGTATCTGCTAGTTTGCTGCCAAAACAAAGGATTTTTGGGTAGGATGGATAAAATAAACCAAATCAAAAAGCCAGAAAAACAAAACACAGCAGCGCTGAAAGGCTTAGCCATTCGTTTGGTTTTCAGATAGGGTCTTAGCCTTGGCTGTCCTGGAACTCACTATGCAGACCAGGTAGACCGCAAACTCACAGGCATCCACCTGCCTCTGCGTCCTGAGTACTGAGACTAAAAGGGTACACAACCATGCCTGGCTTGAAAAGATCTTGATTTTGGTTTTGTTTTGTGTGTGTGTGTGTGGTTTTTTTTTTTTTTTTTTTTTTTTTGAGATGAGGTCTCTTGTAGCCCAGGCTGGCCTCAGACTTGAAGCTGCTGTACCACTGAGGATGACCTTAAATTCAGGCCTCTCTGACTTTACCTCCCCAGCAAACGATTGTGGTTAGGTGCCCCCATGCCCAGGTAAGACTGAAGTCTTATCTTTAGCGCTGTCATGAAACCTGAACATATAAATTTGACAGCAAAACATGAGCTTGGGTGGGGCAGCTGCTCCTGGCCCTCTTTGTGGGTCCAGGTCCTCTGTGCCTCACTGTAGCGAAGTTTGAGTTGCCGGGCTGGTGCAGAGCTGCAGAACAGGGTTTGTGTTATGGAGTGCACATATGGACCAATCTACATTTGGAAATGTAGCCCTTTATTTATCTCAAGGATTTCAGATAAAGGGTGTGAATACGTATTCACTTTTTTTTTAAAAGCTAAGCAATCTTATTGGAGGTGACGTTGTGGTCCAGAAAGACATTCATTTCAATAGATTAAAGCCTAATATGAACTGAGAGGAAAACAATAAAAACAGAATTTTCCCTCCACTGACACATGAGAGTGGGTAACTATAAATTAGTCGTTAGGATTCTTAATTCTGTTAGGCCTCCCAAATCTCATCCTATCCACTAGGCTTCTGTTCAGAGCCAGAGTCCACGTGAATGCCTGGTTCTTGAACAGAGCAGTTAAAGCGTTTGGTACCCTGCCTATTACAGCCCCGGCGTTAGAGTCGGGGCTTAGAAACTGGGGGAAAGAGAGGGCTTACTTAATTTACAAACAAATATTACTGCCTCAGTCTATAACTACCAAGAAAAGATTGAGGACAAGAAATAGAAACTGCACTTGACTGTTCACCCAGAGCATGTGCAAAATGCTAGCGATGCGAACTCGCTAATGCTAACATAGCCTGTGTTTCTAGTCTGTCCCCACGGAGTATGTGCAGAATGCTGCGTTGCATTTTCTCCATTTGTGCGTTTGGGCCCACGTCCATCGGAGTAACTCGCATGGTCCTCATTTGGGCATCATCTGATCATGTGATTGCCATGGTGACCGGAAGACCATAGGGGCACAGGTGAAGCCGGGGTGACTCACATGCGTCACAGAACCAGTACTTTGAGCCAAAGTTCAGCAGACATCACTGATGGAAATTGGTGGCAATGACTGCTGCGAGTCAGAGCTAATACATGTGGTCCAAGGTGACTGCGGTACTGAGTCCAAGAGGATCTTGGACTGTCCATACTTAGTATAACATTCCTCTCTCTGGGGTTGGAGAGATGCTGCTCTTGCAGAGGACCTGGGTTTGTTCCCCACCATCTACACACACACATGCACCCGCACACACATACACGTACACACGCACATGCACACACACACCATCTGAGGACAGCAGCCTCCATCTGGAAATGTTGGGGAGCGCTTGCAGAAATGCTACTCCGTACCTAAGCTAGGCATCAGTGTTTCACGAGCATTGGAAAGTCTCTCACGGGCATTTCGACTGCATATGCTTCAGTTTCCCAGCGAAAATGGCTTAGAAAACCCAGACGCAGAGTTCCTGCAGCCATCTAACACCTCAGCATGGTAACTTGCACCCTCTGGAGCCAGGACAGTCGTTAGCCCGCATCTCGGTGCAACTCCGTGCTGGCGGGAGACATTGTCCCCACGCCAGCATCAGAAAAGCAGCCACCACCTCCTATGTGACTTTGCTGTTGTATTTTTCTCTTTAGTTTTCTTAGCCAGCTTTGCTGCCATTACTTCTGCTTGACAAAACTGGAGGAACAAAGTTGCATCCAGGAATGTGGCCATCACAGTCCCTAAACCTTTCGTGCAGGGCCCAAGAGATGGCTCAGGGAGTAAAGGCCCATAATGCAGAGCCTGATACCTGTGACCACATGTGAAAGGAGCTAACTGCCCTCACAACCTGTCCTCTGGCACAAGTGCCCCCCCCAATAAAAGGGGTTTTGCTTTTTTTAAAATTTTTTTATTTTTTTTTAAAAAATCTCAAACACTTGTCTTCTGGGTGGATCAAGGCAGTCACAGATTTCCCGGCCCGGAGACTTAAGCAGATTTCTGACAGGCCATCCCAGCAGGCCTGGCTTCAGCTCATTTCAAAGACAGCATATGAAATTCTGGTTCTGAGCCAGGTGATGGTGGTACATGCCTTTAATCCCAGCTCTTGGGAGGCAAAGGTAGGCAGATCTCTGAATTTGAGGCCAGTCTATTCTACAGAGTGAGTTCTAGGACAGCCAGGACTACACAGAGAAACCCTGTCTCAAAAAAGAAAAGGGAAATAAGAGGAAATTCTGTTTCTGGAGTGATGAGTGTGGCATGTTTTATCCACTTCCACTTCGCTCACTGATCAGCCACAGGGACGTGATCATAGGGCATCCATGACAGCCCGTGTCATCACAG